CGGGAGCGGCCACTGCACTCCAGTCTGGGCGACAGAGTGAGGCTCCAACTCAAAAAAAAATAAAAATAAAAATAAAAAACAAAGTAAATCCTTCTAGACATTAATAGCTTACTATTAATTGTGATCGGTGTGAAAATGGTATTGGGGGCCTATTAAAGAGAGAGCAACCCAATCTTCCACAAATATATACCGAAACATTTACAGATGAAATGATATACCTCTTATTTGCTTTTCAATAACTGGGAGTGATGATGGGAACAAATAGGGATATAGATGAAACTAAAGTGGCATAAGGTAACAAGAACTGGAGACGGGTGGTGGGCACATGGGCGTACCATACACTCTATTATTCCACTGTTTGAATTTTTAGCTAAAAGGTACTGAAACAAAGTTCTTGGCCATCTGTCATCATAACACACTGCTTGGCAGCTGAGTCTCCTTCCTGCAAATACTGCCCCGCTTCAACTCTCTGCCACTCTATCCACTTGCAACTGAGTTTCATTCATTATTCTTCTCTAATCCTGACTCATTGTGCCCTATCACCCTCACGAACTTAAATGAAGCAAGTAGCCCAAGCTCTGTAAGGGTCTTCCTTTGCAGCACGGGAGAATTCATGCTTGCCCAGTCTATCTCAGTTGCCGAGAGGATTCTCCAAAATAAAAACTGCACAGCAGGAGCACCCCCTGAAAGTGTGCATTCCTAAGGCTCGCCCTCTCAGGTCCCCTGCAGTTCCTCTCCTGGGCCCTCCACCCAGCAGCCCAAGCAGGGGCTCCTGGGGCCAGCCTCCAACCCTCTCCGCACAGCACCCTCTCCACACCCCCCTCCACCCTGGCCCCTCCCCTGCAGGGTCCCACTCTCCTGCCCCCAGCAGCCTAGCCTGGGGACCCCTGTGCTGGCCTATGAGGATCACCCCGCCACTCACGACCCTCTTCTCTGCTATGATCCAAGCAGCTTCTGCACCTCACCACCCTCAAACCCACTACTGCCCCCAGATCACAAACACTCACCCTCCCCACCCCAGGTAATACACAGGTTGCTCAGGCTCATCCAAGAAGAGAGAAAGCCCTGGGGCAAATGCAGGGTCTGGAGTGGGATGAGGAGTAACTGCTAACAGGTACTGGGTTCTTTGGGAATGACAAAAATGTTCTGGAATTAACGGTGGTGATGGTTGCACAACCATGCCGGGATACTAAAAACCACTGAGTTGCACTTTTAAAGAGTGAATTGTGTGATGTGAATTATAGCTCAATAAAACACGCGTGTAAAACAACTATTGCTCACCCTGCCCATCCCACACCCAACTGTCCCACCAACATCACCCCACCCCCAGAAGCACCGACACACCCTGCAGTGTCCTCCCAGCTCCCATCAGCCTGGATGGAGTCCCCAGCCTGGACAGGGTACCCTCACTTCTGACCTCCCCAATATCAGTCTGGACAGGGTCCCCTCACTCCTGACCCCCGACCCCAACCTGGACAGGGTCCCCTCATTCCTGAGCCCCCAGCTCCAGCCTGGACAGGGTTCCCTCACCTATGACCCTCCAGCCCCAGCCTGGACAGGATCCCCTCACTCCTGACCTCCCCAATATCAGTCTGGACAGGGTCCCCTCACTCCTGACCCCCCGACCCCAACCTGGACAGGGTCCCCTCATTCCTGAGCCCCCAGCCCCAGCCTGGACAGGATCCCCTCACTCCTGACCTCCCTAATATCAGTCTGGACAGGGTCCCCTCACTCCTGACCCCTCAGCCCCAGCATGGACAGGATCCCCTCACTCCTGACCTCCCAATATCAATCTGGACAGGGTCCCCTCACCTAACCCCCTAGGCCCAGCTTGGACAGGGTCCCCTCACTCCTGACCCCCCTCAACTCCAGCCCGGACAGGATCTTCTCACTCCTGAGCCCCCAACCCCAGCCCGGGCAGAGTCTCCCCATTCCTGAGCCCCCAACCCCAGTCCGAACAGGGTCCCCTCACTTCTGACCCTCCAACACCAGCCTGGACAGGGTCCCCTCACTTCTGAACCCTCAAGCCCAGCTGGACAGGGTTCCCTCATTTCTGAGCCCCCATCCCCAGCCTGGACAGGGTCCCCTCACTCCCGACCCCCACCGTCTGATGGGGGATGGGCAGAGCCCGGGTGTCCAGGCCCCGCCAGGAGCCGTCTTTCCTCCCTCCTGTGCGGGTCGCCCCCGCTGCCAGGAGCGGAGGGAGGGGTCCGCGACCCTCTGACAGGGCGGGGCACGGCCCACCTGTGTCAGCTGAGATCCGCGTCCAGCTCGCGGGCAGCAGGGGGAGGAGCGCGAGGCCGCACCCGGGCGGCGCAGTCGGCTCAGGCCTCCATGTCCACGTCCCTGCGACTCCGGCTGGGGGTCCGGCCGGGGCGCGTCGTTGCGGAGGCCGGAGGCCGAGAGCGAAGGATCAGCTACCAGGTAAGGGACCGGGAACGCCGCTGAAGACCCAACAGCAGGGCGCGCGCCTGCCGGGACGTCACGTGGCGGCGCCTAGGGCCTTCTGGGAAATGGAGTCCCTCGGGGTCGCTCG